AAAAAACATTTTTTTAGGAATCTCTGCTGGGAAAAAAGGCTGATGAAAGACCCCATTTCTTTGCCCCTCCCCTCCCCAAATCTTCAAAGGGAAAGAAAAAAAAAACAGCACGCAGACCAACCTCAAGCATAAATAAAGTTTTTTTTTTAATTTGTCCTATTTTTTTTTCCAAGCTACAAAGACGATGATCAAGGAGGAGGAGACAGAAGCGAACTCAGGAAATGCACAGAAACCTGGGGTGGGGGGGAAATGACAATATATATACATATATTATTCATACATACATACTCCTTCCTATTTTCCCCACAACAACCCTGTGAGGTGGGCTGAGAGGGAGGGACTGGACCCAAGTCACCCAACTGGCCTCCATGCCTAATGCAGGACTAGAACTCCCCGTCTCCTGGGGATTGGCCCAAAGTCACCCAGTTGGCTTTCATGGCTAAGGCAGGACTAGAACTCGCCGTCTCTAGCCTTCCCTGCTCCATCGAACGGAAGCTGGGCAAGGCTTAAGACAGGAGGAAATGCCAGCTGGGCAGGGGTCCTTCGCCTTACCTGCCTCTCTGCCAGCAGAATTATTGGTTCGGGAACCAGCGGCGGAAAAAGCTGTTGAGAATCGAACTCGTGTCACTCAGGTCTCCTTCCGGGCCGGAGCTGAAAGGAGCCGGATCACCTGCAAAATACCGGAGGGGGGTGTGGGGGGAAAATTCTTCACTCATCTTTTATTCCCTTTTTTTTTTCCTTAAACAGCTTTTCCCCTTCCTGATGCGTTGGCTTGCCAACATTTTCCAATGTACCGGTTGCCCCATGAGGACTAGAAAGATGTGTTGGCAGCCTTTGGGCAAAAATCAAATAAAAATAAAAATAAAGGGTGGCAATTTGGAAAACTTTACCTGGGGCTCTCGGCAGGCTGCCGTCAGGGGCCAAGCTCCGAGTCACGACCGTCTCCTCGTGGCCCTGGCTGTCCCGCACCGTCCGGCGTTCCTCCACCGTCTGAATTAAAACCGGGGCGCCAAAAA